GTGCCACACGGGAGATACACTTGCGATCCACAAGCTTAGTGATCAAGTCGACCCAGAAAGCGATCTCACACGCGTAGACGATCCAAAATTGGTTTCTCTCTTAGGCGCGATCGCACGATCGAGATCAAATACGATGAACGGTTAGGATTTATTTCTTCCTAGTCGCAATCAAACGATCGAGATAAATATGATAAACGGTCCAAATTAACGCGAGATGGGTATAAATATTTCGCATCACACTAAACTTGAACCCTATCTGCCAACCTCCTACCGGATAAGAAGAATAAGTCGCTGAAGAAGGGAGTCGACCCCCCAACCGCTGCGGCACCAGAGCTACCTCCGACCGTAAAAAAAAGAAAAAATTCTCCTACCAGCTCAGAATTCGAGCACCCCTGTGGCCATATCGGAGTAAAACAAATGGTGGGTAAGCCAAAAACTACAGGCAAAACCCCACGGAGCCGCTGTGGGCAAAATTCACAATATACTCCGATGAGCCCCTTCCTATTTTTCGTTTTGTGCGATTTTTCTATCATTTTATTTAGCATTATGTTTTTTACATGTTAACCAAAGAAAAAATCTCAGTCGCAAAGGTGAGTCGGTGGAACTGCCGCACCCGAAAAACTTCACTACCTGTAGGTTTCCGTTTTTTGATTTTTTGGTCCAACCGAGGCCTCCCTAACATATTTTTTCGCAGGGATATGTATAAAGTCGGCCAAAACCAACCGAAAAAGGGTCAGTCGAGCAAACTGCTGCCGCTGCGCTGGTGCCGTACTGAACTGCCGTGCCGGAACCCCGAAATTAGCCAGAAAGAATTTTTAACACCGATTTTGGATTTTGAAGTATTTTTTAGATATGTTAAGCGTGTTTTAATCTCTGCAAAAAAATTTAAAAAATTCAGGAACCGCCAATAAGCGCATTAGAAAGTTCATTATTTCGAATATCAATTCGGGTAAGAATCTTTCACCATATTACTTGTTATGGAATTGAAGCTTAATAATAAATAATATAGTATTTTATGAAATTTAGAAAACTTTAAAAATAATTACATGTCACTCATAGAGCCGGAACTGGTTAATTATTTATTTATCTTATTTAACTGATTATTTAATTTTACAGTTTTAAATATGTGATGATATATTTGAATGGTTAAATGATTCAGTTATATTTCATTAATGCATATATCACTTGTCTTGCATGATTTACGGTTAATTTGTGATATTTTTATTGGATTAATGTAACTTATCCCTTCCCCTATTAATTATTTTAGATCAATAAAATTAAGATTCAGGTCTTGATGAGAACTATGAGTATGTGTCCTCCCGGATACTATTAAGAATTAGTGGAGATGAACATCTCTACAACATTTATTTACTATTTTCATATATTATTACGTTTTTTTTTATGAAACGCTGTGAAATAAATCTTTCTATCTTTTTATTGGGCATGCTAATTTATGTGTAAAAAATATAAACATTGACATTATTATACGCTTTCGCATTTAATTTATGATCTTATTTCTATTTAAATTGCAGGTCTCTACATATAATGTAAGAAGTCATACCAGTATCTATCTACTTATAAAATCTGGTTGATTGATTTCCTATACACCTATAAATATGTCTATAAAACATATTGCAGTGTTTTTTGCGTATGTTCTGTCCCTTACCATGTTCTCCCCACTCAGCATTAATCGTCTTCATTTCATCACCGTATACAATGGATAATGTAGTGTTTTGTGTGTATGGATATCTTCTTGATATATATAAATATATATATATATATATATCAAATGGATGCTTACTGTACTATACTCTTGTTTGTAATTGATTGAATTGTGGACTAGAATAAATTGGATATACATATATATGTATATATGAATATCAAGCTTCCCACTTTAACACGACAAGTATCGATTTATATTATTGAAATTTTTTATAGGATTCATTGTTCTGAATGCAAATGGTTCTTAAATAGAGTATTTTTTGGAAACTATTATTTTCCCCAAATAATATTTTGTTATTTGGGTTTCCCTCAAATTGTCCCTATTATATATATATATATATATATTTGGTTGTTTGTATGAGACCAAGCTGATTCTGATACTTAACACAAAGATAAAGTAATGGAAAATATATTGCTATATAATTGAACCTCAGACTGTTTGGAAATGATAGACTTATCATACAAATAACTCTGTCTCCAAAATAATTAGGCATTTTTTATCAATTGAAAGAAAATTTCAAAAAAAAAAAGGTAAAAATGTTGTTTTTGATCAAGCTAAAATTTAAAATACCCTCTCAAATAGTTTAAAATATGTATTTAACCCATATAGATATGAAATAAATTATATTGAAAAAACCCTAATCCTTTTTTTCTTACACATAGGAAACTGTCCAAAAAGGAGGAATGGAATTTTAATTTTACTTAAAAGGAAAAAAGAAGTGGACAAGAAAAAAGTATATCATATATGGGACCAAAACAGGATATTAATGAAGTACACTGCCATAATGAGATGCTTTTTCTATCAACAAAATATTTTCCAATAAGTTTTTATATATCAAAATCAAAGATTTCTTTTAATACATAAGAACACTTTTTAGCTTTTACTTTTGAAATTTATGTGCATATAAATTTTTATTTAAAAAAAAAAAAAAAGTGTATGAGAGTTGTATGTTTGTAGTATAACTAAAATACAAAAAATAATTTTTTAAAAAAATTTATCATTATGTTTACTATATAATCTATTACGAAATATTTCACAATATTATTTTTAGTATTTTTTTAAAAAATATATATTTTATTTATGCTTCAATATTCTAAAAATATGTAAATATATATTCAATATTTGGAAAATGAAAATTTAGAAAAAAAAAAAACATTCTATCCGACAAAGTAGCAATATCAGATTCGCACTATAAGAATTTGATGTGTCTGGAGGTGAGAGTACGACACCTGTTCTACGTAATTCATAACAGTGTTGACTTCGTGCAGGTGGTCTAATTCCAATGTCTTATTTGTCAAACCAGATTCACGACGCGTGTCTTTGATAACTCAATTTAAATTTTGACCGTCTCTAGTGCCGAGTCACTTCAAAAATCACAGTCATGAATGATTTTGGCATACAACGTAAAAAAAAAAAAAAAAAAAAAGAAAAGATTTAACAGACTGAATTAAATATTATTTGATTTAGTTAAAGTTCAAACACAAAAGAATGAAAAGAATTATTTTATTTTCGATTCGATTGGGTCTATTTCAATGTTCTATAATCTGGATTTCAACTCTTAATATGGTTTTAATCCGACCCAGTTTGATCCAATCCAGTCTGCTGATGAACAGCCCTAAAACTTGTAAAGACTTAGTTGTAATCCAACGAGGCAGAGGAGGGAGAGAGAGAGAGAGAGAAGATGACTATCCGCCGTATGTTCCAAAAAAGGAATCAAAAAGGCAAAGTGAAAGGGCAGCTTTTCTATACATGTTTGGGCTATATTTAGCTAGGTAGATATGGGCATCATTCTGGCCATCTGGAAACAATTACCACTTGTCTCCCTTACTTTCCTTTTTCTGATTTCTAGTTTCCTTTTTCATTTATTTAAAAAGAATTCCCCAATATCTTTTGGGGATTGCGATTCCCGTATCACTTTTTTCTTTATTTTTCCTTCTTTTTCTTTTTTCTTAATTTGGTTTCCTTCTGTCAGTTGACACCCCTTCAACCAGAGCCTCTCAGTTCTGGACTGTAATGCCAGCATTTCCAACTCATGGCTGGCTTCATTGTGTGATTTTAGCTGACTCTACTTGTCAAATCATTTCTTATTCTACTTCCTGCAGATTATTTCTTTTTATTCTTATTATTTTTTAAACGATGTCCAAAGCAAATAACACAATATCCTTCCAAGATTTTTGTAATTTCTAGGAGATAATAAAGCTTAGATAGTGAAAAAAAAAATCTTAAAAGTAAGAATAATA